AGGTAATTAGGTTCAACAGCGGCTGAAAGAGCAAATAGACCACTCGATAAAGTATGACAATCACAAAGCTGTCGCAATGGAATTGAGGGGTCGATCTGTCAAAGCATATGACAGTGGGTCCAGCCGTGATGGAGGGTAAGAATTGATGATGCTGATGATGACAGCCTCGCGAAAGGGTTGAGACCGCACGAAAATAAGTCGAAGTGTATCGATTGAGATTCAGCGAAGTGAGGATAAGATGAGCTCGGTAAAGATGGCTAGGTGGGGTGTTGTTGAGCTTGAGGCCAGATCCAGGTGCTTAAAGGAATAAGAATGCGGGTGATGAGGTTGAAGAGCTGCGGAAAGGTGAATTGCAATGGGTGACAGCACTGTAAGATGGGTCGATAGCGAAAGCGACAGCCAAGGCGTACGGGTCAAGGAGCAGATTGATTCGTTGTCGGTTGGCTGTAGATTTGATGAGGTTGAGCTTTGACTGAAGCGTGGCGGAAGCTTGCGGTTTAAGGTATGTGCTTATGGGCGGGTATGGCTTCTAGCCACAGTGCAGCAACGTATGTGACGGCAGTCTCTGAGTAAGTTGGTTCAACCGCTCAGTTATCGCAAAATGAGATCGGGCGCAAACAGAAACAACAAAAATGCGGTCGTCAGATGTTGGTCGAGGGAGTGAAGGGTTTTACGGAGAAGCAGAGTATCAGTCGATAGGATGAGCGGACACATGCGGCTCCCAATTCGTTGGTTGGGATGGCAAAGCACCAGGCCCAAGTTAGGTAGATGGGGAACAGGACAGGACAGGACTGGGAGTCAATCCTGAGACCTGCTTTCTTGCTTGGGGAGGAGAGTGGACTTGTCTTAAGACTGGCTGAATAGGATAGAATAGGATAGGTCGGACGGATAATCAAGAGGGAAAAAAAGGCCGGATTGGGGTCTTGTGAGTTGTCGTATTCGCCGCAGTCAAAAGATTGGGTTCTTTTTAGGGGTCTGATTGACTCGACTTGCGATCGAGTCACTGGTACTGGACGACAACGTTGGGCGATGGGGTTTTCTCACCAAGCCCATACTATGACTGGTGATATTCTCCAAGCATCGGATCTCCTTCTCAACTATTTTTCTTTTCTCTTACCCTCTCTCTTCTGCAAGCGAGTCGGCGGGACGGGGGCACGTAAGAGCAAGAGCAGATTTCTCTCCCACTGCCGGTCGACGTCGCGATGTTTGTTGCCCGTAATGGCGTGACTTTTGCCTCGAAAAGGTCCAACTTGTGCGGTTCCAACTCCAGGGGCCCTTGAAGACCCCCGGGAGTCCAGGACCGCTGGCGTAGCAAAAATTGGACGACATCGTATGATGAGCAAGGCTGAGGAGGGGAATTGTACGATGGCCAAGCCTCTCATCCATTGGCTGACTCGTGCTGAGCCGATGTCACTGCTGTCACTGGCTGCGGGCTGTCATTCGTTCTTGTTTGATACTCGAAGAATGTAAAAAGCTTCAAGGTTTGTTTCTATTCGTTAGCGGTTTGTTTTAGGTCCAAAACGGGCCTTTATCTGTCTGCTTCAACCTCCAATCTGATTCATGAATCACGTGGCAGACAATACTGTCTCTATCGAGAAACCCATTATTCCCGCTTCTCAGCTGTCACTCTCGTTCACTAACAGTCAATAAATAACCCACTAAAAAGCGGCTTACGGAGAGCTGGGGGTCTTGGCAACGGTTTCTCCCTCGAATTCTTCAGCCTCGTGCTAGTGACAAGCGATGGCTTCTAGGCTCAGCTGGCAAGCTCTAGCTCTCCATCCAGACCACTCATGAAGCTCAAGAGGCTTACTGGTGGGTGGGGGCATATTATGATCCTTGTCTGTCCCATTCATGGGAAACCTCTGTGTTGCTCCCACAAGTTTCCTCTTCTAGGATATCCATGAAAATGATGAACATCGCAAAGGACGAGCCTACATGAGCTTGTACACACGACCAAACCTAAGTGATACCCGTCTGATCAACTGTATCTGTGCTGCTGTCAATGCCGTCATTCCAAACCTAATGACCTGGCCGCTTTCGAACTGGCGGCTTTTAACATCCGTACCTGACCGGATTTTAGGTTTAGGGTATCCAATTAGTGGCCAATGCTCCTAGCTACGACCCTGGAGATGGAGTTTTCCTTTGTGAAGTCTTTGATCTATTTTCGTCAAACCACTGAGCCCACCTATGGCCTTACCTCGAATTCAGAGAGTCGGCCTGTAGATGCTTGGAGCGCCCATGATCAATATGTCCTTGCACTTCATAGCAGATACTACGGATGATGCGCTTTATCCACAAAATCTGTACTCAGTAGTTTTGCTAAAACTGAATCTTAATGTTTTTTACTAAAGCTCTGTTTAAGAATGGAAACAAAATATTTGTTTAACAGACTAGACTATCGTCGAAGTATAATTCTGTGAAGTTCAGCATGCAGGCCTCGCGGATCAAGATACTATCACCTCATGATAGCAGGATAAGAACTACCACGAATCACATTGTTGACTGCCTGATGTCGTGCTGGCTCACTCAACCGCAAGACTTGGGTCACATTCTGGTATCCTTGAAAGCATTGCGAACAAACCCAATGGCTTATCTACCCTCTTCCTCTATACTCTCCATAGTCATGCCGCAATTTTAGTGTTTCCTCTGTCAATGTACCACTTCCCATCAAGTCATATATCGTTATTTTGGTTCCCATGGCTTTGGGAGAGTTTCCTTTCGTAAACAGTCTGGACATGTTTCTTGGGCGTAAACGATGTCGTGAATATGCGAAGGTCCTTTGCATCCATTAAATACTCTCTGACACCAGCGAATATTCAGAAACCCGACATGCCCACAAGCAAACTGCCGATCCACCTGCATACACATGTTGCCTGATCTAGTCCCGCTGCGTACGTCTGTGTAATATAACGATCTGGCTAGGGTCTAGATTCATCCAGGTGTTTTGCACAATGTCCTGCGACTTGGTGAGTGCTATTGTTCTATATGAGCAACGCGCCCGAGACTCTTCAATGCGCAAATGGCTGATACCTTGCTTCTGTAATCGACGTATTCGTATAATGTTCCTGATCCAAATCCATACGTCCGATAATTCTAAACTGCTCGATCGCAGGAGTCTTCGCACGGCACTGGGGGGCTGTCTAATAACAGCGCACACACGGCCGGCTGGGTGAAAACGAGAGGGCGATATCGAGTCGACGTGAAGTTGAAGCCTTCTCGTTCTGAAATTCCCTCGAGAGCGGGACGTCAAAAGCGGCCAACGGTCGCCGGGGGTAAGAAAGTGCGAACAAATCGGCGATCGTCAAAACAGGAGCACCAATAACAAAGAAGACAAGTAACTGCAGCGCCCTGCCCGTAGGCGCATGCAGCCTGTGTGTATCCAGATCAGATACAGCTTTCAAGGATACGTGCAAGGGTTTGCTGGTGGATTTGCGGTTCGGATTGGCCTTTGTGGGAAGGGCTTGGAAACGAATTGAAGCATTTCACAGAACTGATCGCGATCGCGATGTGTCTTGGCTGGCACGCAGAATGACGTTAAAACCAACCTCCAGGCGCACGGGTTAGGTTAATTTAGGGCCCCTTTCCTCATTGATTGGGCTAAATAGTAGGTGACCTACTCCGTAGCGTACAGAAATATGTTGTGATTCGATTACTGCTCAATTTTGAGTGTTTTTTACCTCTAGAAGAACGCCAAAGAAGCGTCCTCCAAAGGGCGGCTCTGTAAATGTCGTCACTTCAAGGGCCTGGACTCCCTTGCTCGGTGGGGGCCGCCGCGGAAAAAAACCATACGATCGACCTTGGCCTTACCGTTGGAGTTATTGATTTGACGGAATTAACTCTCGGATCTTTTGTGGGGATCTTCAACCAATCGGCCAAAGACTCGAGGTTATTTACCCCTTCTGGGTTGACTCAAGCATCATGGGATCAACGTAGTGTATTGAACTCGAATGCTTCTCCGAGGACGAAATAAGGTGATTCTCCTGGTCAATCGCACGCACGCTGGCGCACTACTACTGCGATCAGGGCAACCATATTCTTACCATCCATGGATGTATGAATGCGTAGGGCCTTTTTGCTTGGATCATCAATATGATAAAGGATATAAATCGCCCCTGACCGAACAATACAATAATATCTGGGGCCTAGTTCGATGACGATGAGAAGCCTCGGGGGTTAAATCTTCCTACTAAATATCATATTTCTGTTTCAAAGCTGAGCTTTGAGCTAGACGTATAGCTAATCAAGCTGAGCATATCAAGGAACAAAGTGCGGTGTATAGATCCCTCGGGCCAAGAATTGAGACAGAATCCAGCGTTAACGGCCGAGATGAACTTAATATCAAGTTATGATGTGTTCAGGTTTGACGTTGTACATGTATGCGACGAACGTGAAATCACCACATCGTATTGGATCATCATCCAATATGGATATCCAACATGGGTAGAGGCTCTGGAACAGTACCTCCAACAACTATCGAACAAATCGGATTGGGTTAAAATACGGCATAAGACGGAGATATATATTATCTTATTGTTTTATGTCTTGATTAGCTTGTGTTCAGGATAAGAAAATGCATTCAAGATCCGTTTGCATGGTTCAACACCATTGTTCAGATCTTGAATCAAGCAGCATGTGGAGTCAACGATTTCCACTGGGCTTAGGAACTTACTCTTGGTTCTTGAAGGAACTCGGAGGGGGCCAACATAAGGTATTTGCTAACCTGCCGTTTTGGCCTTGCGAAAAAGTGCGCTGTTATGGGAAAGTGAGGTAGGTGCAGGTGCTCTTTTCGAGAGTGAGGCAACGGCTCGTTTGAAGTAGGAGCACACCCGAACCAGTTTCCAACCTCACTTCGAAATTCGGACCACTAGCTCTTAATCCCATTCCTGCACATTTTCGATTTCGCCTTTCCTTTTCACTCCACAACACCTTGAGCCTATCGCCGACCAACCCACTTCCCTCTACTACTCCTATGTTTCTTATGCCTCTGACTGGCCATAAACATGTCGTCTAAGGCGATGTTCTTTTTCCTTTTGGGAGTGGCCTTTCTTACGGTTTTTGCGACAGAGGCGCACTGCTTCTCATGGAGGCCGCGACCTGTGGATGGTATGTTCGAGTGATTGCGCTTGCACTTTGATGCTAACATCACTATAGTAGGTCATCAGGTTACACTCCAGCACCCACAACGCAGTAGCGATAACACCGCCCTGCTCAACAAGCAATCAGAGAAGAGGTTATCCAACGTTTACACTACCGCACTTCAAGAGCTTCAAGACCTGGAGTCTGAACCTCTCTGTCATCGCATCGCTGCACGTCTGCTAGTCAACAACTGTCACCTCCTGGATGGCCAAGACGACGCCAAGGTCCATATTGATAGCGGGAGAGCAGCTCGAGACTTTGTGGATTCGTATGCAGCAAGCCTTGCTATTTGCGACTTGGAGCGCGGCAGTTTCAGAATTCCGGTATCCTGCTCCAAGTTTCGAGAGGCAACCCTGGCGACCCTTTCTGCTTCACCTATCCCACAACTCCATGTTTCGACCGTTGAGATTGATGAGTGTCTCGAGGGCCTTGCTCAGTCAGATTCGGCTTGGAATACATGGGTGAGCTATCGTCACAAAGCGTTGAGGTTCTGCGATGCCGCAAGGGCAGATCATCAGAAAGGTTAGTAATCACCCAAGCGAAGAGATACCATACTGATCGTCCATGACAGATGAGAACATCCTCCTTTATCAAAGAATCACTAAGATTCTCGAGAAACTCACCAGTGATGTTGAGGCAGACATGGAGGAGCGATTCCATTCGCTCAATCGAGCATATACTGCCGCAAGCCAGTCTGTTGAAGACATGGGGCCTCATGTTCGACATCTCCGTACAGAGATGGAAAGAGCTAGTCGAATTCTCCGCGACGATTTGGGCCGGGCTGCTCAGGTACATACCAATTATCTCTTTATAGGACACACTCCTGACTTGGATAGGACTCGTGCGATGTCGTGGAAAGTGGTCTTAAGGAAACGAGAGTGCTGCACGATCTTTTAGAACTTCTTACTCGCTCAGTTCAAGAGAAGACTGCAGACATCGTTTCATCACAAGAGCTTGCTCTCCAAACGAACACAAAGCAGTTAAACAACGAGGTCGATATCCTTATGGCAGTGCTGGGTGCGGCTGTTTCGTCGTCTGTTTCTCTTCAGAATCAAGTGGTGAGTCTGCTGATGAATCACTCGGGAGTCAAGGTTGACCATTTAAGGAAATGACAGAATCTCGGAGTGCAGATATCCTGGAGAAGCAGGTCAAAATCGAAAAAGTAAGTACCGGCTCCCATCCTTGAGTATTCTGTTGACCAGCTGAAGGGTATGGGGAAACTCGAAGAACTTGCCGAAGACTTGCTGGTCAAGTACGATAACCATGAATCCCGCCTCGACAAGGCCTTTCGAAAGACCGGCCAGGTCTTGGACATACTTGACGCAACTGCTGCATCTGCCAGTGGATTGCAAAGCTCTGTATTAAGCAGTTTCGGGCTTTCAGGGGTTTGGCCGTACATTATTTGCCCTTTTTTGTCACTTGCAATGGGATCCTATGGTCTCCAACCTTCCCTTGTGAGAAACATATGGCTCGTCGGGTTTGGTAAGTTTCTGAACTTGCCAAAAGATTTTCGCTAATTGTATCAGGCGAGTTGATGGGCATGGTTGTGTCAAAAGCAGATTCTTACAAAGATGCTTTCGGCTTTCCATCGATAGTCGAAACCCCTGCTTCAACCTTCAACGGCACGTTCAATGCCTCCCTCGCGGGGGAGAACATCCTCAAAAGCGTTTGATGCTTCGTTTTCGACAGCATCCCAGTGAAAGTGAAAGGAGAAATCGGGCTACGTATGTTGGTTGTTTTGGGATTCATTTGATAACAAGGCAGACATGGGATTATGGACGGGATGGGTACTTTCAGACTTGGCTCGCATTTATCATGTCTTTTTTTAACTCTCGGGATTCGGGATTTGGGATACGAGCTAGATCACGCATGGGAACATACAGAGGCGCACCAAAAGGTTCCTATGGAATTTCGTGGCGCCAGGAGCATATCAGTTTGCTTTGAGCATAGGAAGGAGTCTTGCCAATCAATTTCATGAACCACTGCATCATTTGCCTTTCCATATCCGGCATCGGAGAATTGATTGCCCTATGAACCAACTTGTATTTACAACTGTTGCTCGTGTCTCCACATGGGAGTTTCAGCCTCGTCGCCATAAGAGAAATGATAGAACAGTTGCACAATAGGAGCATTGACTCTCTAAATGGTATCTATTACAACCACTTAGAATTGAAGCCAGAAGTGCAAAGAGGAGAACAATAAGAAATAATCATTGGTGGGGCTCCTGGTCATGCTACACAAAAGTTTCATCATCAGACGACAAGGCTGAGCCGCTGCTCATTTAACAGAGATAAGATATGGCCGAGCGCACGAATTAAAGCTCGCCAACAACCCCACAACGCCTATCACCACGTGATTCCTCCAGTAGAGAATCGGCGTCACCCTAGCCGCGAGCTCGCAACTTTGTATGCAGCTGGGTTTTACATCCACGACGAATCACCCCTCGCCAACACACATTTCAGCCTTTGAGTTCTCATCGTTTTGACTATACGTTTTGCGCGAACTCGTCTCCATGTAGAGTTCTAGCGGCGCCGGCATTTATTCACCTGGTGTAAGTCTTTTCCTTGTCGATGATGTCGCGAATTGCTTCTGCCATTCACCCGTTCTCCTGATCTCTTGGAGGCGCAGTCCACCAACGCGCATGACAACCATTAGTTTTCCAGCCTACGAGCATGCCTGATGGCGAACCTTTGAGGGTCATAATTTTGACATATCGGGACAATATCGTTCCAAATGAAACAACCCACTAACGAGGGCTTGTCCAGAACAGAATGAACAGCCAGAACCTTGGCCCTGTAGTATACGATCGAGACCGCGAGATGGAAGAACGACACCGAGCTTTACAGCAACGTGAGGAGATGGCCCGTCGGGACCAAGAGAGAGAACGTGAACAGCGCGATAGAGAGCGCGATCGAGATCGAGAGTCCAACGACCGGTACCAATCTACACCTCACCATAGCAGCGCCGGCTCCATTCCCATTCACCAGCCGGTCGCGTCGCGGATCTCTGGCGCAATTCATAGTCCCGGTGGACTTCTTGCGAACCACAACGGAAATCCTCAAATTCCTCTCGGTAACCCACCAGGTCCTCCCCTGGCCGCCTTCGGAGGGCCACTCCAGAGCGAGCACAGCCGACCGGTCCAACACGGTGGACCAAATAATAGCAATACACAACCACAAATGTTCGCGCCGATGCCGCACGGTGGACCGCCGACATCGACACAAGCTGCTGCCAACAGTGTCGCGGCCGTGTTTGGCGGTCCTTTGCAGCAACAGCCTTCGGAAGGCCAGCGTGGGGGCCAGCAGGGCGCGCCGTTCAACCCAGCTACTGTATCGGCAGCTCATCAGCTTCCTGGTGGAATTACCCAGGGGCAGCAGCCTATTCTAAATGTAAGTTCCACTACAATACAGTTTCTTTTGCGACGGGTTGTTGTCATTGGAGGGGTACCAACAACCTTCCATGCGCATGTCGCAGCCACCCGCTAAGTTTGCGTTTGCGTTTGCGAGCTGGTGATGCGACAGCGCGGGCCGCTGATAAACCACCCACAAACCTTTGCCTTACCTTTCTATCCAACCCAACTTCTTCTACCCCTCTTCTTACTTCTCCAAATTCCCTGACGGCTCTCGTGTGAAACATTCACAACTCGTCACATTTTGTTTGCCTAGTGCCCGTTTTCTTGTTCTCGCAGATATCCTCCAACATGGAGCCTCATGCTCTCCTGGCCAGTCTTCCGGCGAACCCAGGCGACCTTGTTGGTATCTTCAACCATGAAGGAGAAGGCATGGCGCTTCTCCATGGACAAGAATCCGGCGTACCTTTATTCTATTTCACTCTCATTGTACAACATATGTTCTACTGGTATCGCTGCGAACATGATTGCTGACTGCTTCTCTTTCCAGGATGCCCTCACCTACCTTGATCAGGTCAAAGTCCAGTTCCATGACCAGCCAGACGTCTATAACCGTTTCTTGGATATCATGAAAGACTTTAAAAGCCAGGCGTATGTTATTGATTGAGCCGCCACTTTTGTCGTGATCACAGCTAACGCAAGGACAGTATTGACACACCGGGGGTTATCAACCGAGTATCTGAGCTCTTCGCTGGGCATCCAAACCTGATTCAAGGGTTCAACACCTTTTTACCTCCCGGTTACCGTATCGAGTGCGGCGCTGGTAACGATCCGAACACAATACGAGTCACCACACCTATGGGTACCACGGTTCAATCTATCACAGGACGTGGAAACCAGGGCGATGGTCACGGTCCTGCCACAGCTAGTCAGCCCTTGTTCCCCGAACGAGGTGGCCAGTGGCAGCAACAGAGACCGCAGCATAGCATCGAGAGCCCGGAGGCACAGTTTAGTACGCCTGTCCAGAATGGTGCAAGCCTATTTGTTCAAGCTGCAGCCCACAATGCTGCTTTCAACGAGAGCAACAACTCGGGGCAGCGACGTGCTCTGCCTCAGGGCAGCACAGGTCCTGGGGAGGGGCCAAATGCGCGCCAGGCCTTGACACCCACTCCTTCTGGACAAGCTGGAGTAAACGGCAATGCAGCGAATCAGGCAAACATGGAACGGCGGGGGCCAGTTGAATTCAACCATGCTATCAGCTATGTGAATAAAATCAAGGTAAAAACCATTGCTCATGTCTCAACTTCTTAAAGCGTCAGACGTACTAATCATGGCAAAGAACCGGTTCCAGGACAAGCCTGAGATCTACAAACAATTCCTTGAAATTCTTCAAACCTACCAGCGCGAACAAAAGCCTATCCAGGACGTATATGCACAGGTTACCACCTTGTTCAACTCGGCTCCTGACCTACTCGAAGATTTCAAGCAATTTCTGCCAGAATCAGCTGGACAGGCAAAGCAGACTCCCAGTCGTATGGACGATGGACCCCCATCTGGACCCAATCAGACACCGCAGCCTGCTACGAGAGATGGACAAAAGATGCCTCCTCTAGGTAGCTTTGCGCCTCCTGCTAGCGCTACTAAAGACAACAAGAAGCGACCCCGAGCCGACAAGCAAGCTGCTCAGCCTGCAACCGCTCTTGCAGATGCGACCTTGATTACACGGAATCTCCCTCCTATTGCGAATGGTCACAAGAGGCCTAAACTCAACCATGCCAGACCAGGAGGTGACAACTCAGCAGTTGAGCCAACTCTCACGCCGGTTATGCCAGAGCCCTACCCTGCTAAACCCTCCTCGACATCTAGTCAAGAGGAGATTGCCTTCTTTGAGCGCGTTAAGAAGTTCCTTAGTAACCGATCTACGATGAACGAGTTCTTGAAACTTTGCAATCTCTTCAGTCAGAACATCATCGATCGAAACACATTATTTCACAAGGGCGTGTTGTTCATCGGCGCGAACCCTGACTTGCTGAACTTCTGGAAGACCTTTGTTGGCGTCGATACTCAAGATGTCGTCATCGACAATCGCCCTGCGCCTCCGACAGAGAAGGTGTCTCTCAGCAACTGTCGTGGGTATGGACCTAGTTATCGATTACTTCCCAAGCGAGAGCGCCTCAAACCCTGCAGCGGCCGAGACGAGCTCTGCAACTCTGTTCTCAATGATGAGTGGGCTTCACACCCTACGTGGGCGTCGGAGGACAGCGGATTCGTTGCTCATAGGAAGAACCAGTTTGAGGAAGGCCTGCACCGCATCGAGGAAGAGCGCCACGATTATGACTTCAACATTGAAGCTAACATCAAGTGCATCCAGCTCCTGGAGCCTATTGCGCAAAATATGCTCGCCATGTCTGCTGCTGAGAGGGAAACATTCCAGATGCCTGTTGCACTTGCTGGACAAAGCACGTCTATCTTCAAGCGAATCTGCAAGAAGATCTATGGTGATCGCGGTATCGATGTTGTTAATGACATGTTCACCCATCCCTTCGACGTGGTGCCTGTCCTACTGGCTCGCATGAAGCAGAAGGATGAGGAGTGGCGGTTCTCCCAGCGAGAATGGGAGAAGGTGTGGCATGCCCAGACTGAGAACATGCATCTCAAGAGTCTGGACCACATGGGCATCCTTGTCAAGCAAAACGACAAGAGGCACTTAACTGCAAAGCACTTGGTCGACGTCATCAAGACAAAGCATGAGGAACAGCGTCGCGAGCGATCATTGAAGGGTGATGTCCCTCGACATCAGTTCAGCTGGGACTTTAGCGACAAGGATACAATCATTGATCTACTGCGCCTCATGATGCTGTACAGTTTACATAATGGCCAGCACAGCAGCCAGGAAAAGGAACGCATTCTGGAATTTTTTGAGTCCTTCATCCCTGCCTTCTTCGATATTCCCGAAGAGAACATCCAGGATAAGCTTCCCAAGATGCAGCCCGATTCTGGCGAGGACGAGATGGAGGATCACACGCCTGCAGAGCTGACCAATGGTCGCAGCCGACGTAACGGTCGAAAAGGAGATCTACTTAGAGGAGTTCTTGATCCTGGCCGTAACGGTAGCAAACCCCGCGGGCACAAGGAAGACAGCACCCCTGGAAGCAAAGAGACGACGCCTGATGTTACTTCGGCGAACGAAGAGGAGATGCCCGATGCTTCCGATGACGTTACCAACACTGACGTTTCCAACGAACGCTGGATCCCTAATATCCCCAAACCCGTTGTTGTTGGTCAGAGCGAAGAGCTCCTGAACACTGAAGGCGAGTTGAAGGCCGATGGATTCTTCACACGACCGTGGTACAACTTCTTCTGCAACCAGACCCTGTTTGTCTTCTTCAGTATCTTCCAAACTCTATATCGACGTCTCCAAGATCTCAAAGAGGCAAAGGAGGTTGTGGCTAAGGAGGTCGAGCGCCTCAACAAACAGAAGCCTGCCCGGGATATTGGGTTTACTGAGAACCACATGAAGTTCTTTGACCCCAACGATGACCCAGACAGTTACTGGCCGAAGACCCTTGAGCTCATTGAGGAGTATATTTCTGGTGACGTTGACGAGAGTCGATACCAGGATGTGATGCGACACTATTACCTCAAAACTGGATGGAAGGTGTACACAATCCAGGACCTGCTCAAGACCCTCTGCCGTCTGGCCCTTACCTGTAGTAGCACAGATGTCAAGGAGAAGACTCCTGACCTCATTGCTCAATACCAGGCCAACCGTGAGCGAGAGGAAACAAGTTACCAGACAGAGATTAGCGCCCGAAAGTTCGCTGAGAAATGTGTTAAGGATGGTGATATTTTCGTGATATGCTGGGTAAGTTCAAGTCACCTTGACATCTTCACATATCAGACCTCTAACAAGATCACAGTTTCCCTCCAAGTCTGAGGCGACCGTGCGATGGCTTCAACGCGAAGAAACAACGTTCTACATGGACGAGATGCAACTCCGTGAGCGCTGGCAGTATTACATCTCATCCTTTATTCGCGTTGAGCCCACCGAGGGAGTACCTAGATCGAAGCTCCAGAAGGTCGTGCTCTCTCGTAACCTTCCCTCACCCGACGTCGATGCAGACGAGGATTCAATTCCTAAGGCCGTCTCGTATAAGGAGAACCTGACCATTAGTATTTGTCTTAAGAGTTCAAAGATGATATGGGCTCCAGGAACTTCCGAATACGTCGTGTATGATCAAGGCCCTAAGTCGGCAGAACAGCGTGAACGTCGCGACAAGTTCATCCGCGCCCTTAGCGCCCATCGAGAGAACAAACTTCTCGAGAAGTGGGTGCACAATCCTGCATGGACCAAGGACCTGAGTCCAGAGGAGGTTCAAGAGCAAAATAAGAACTTCCGCAAGTGGATGGACGACGGTGTCGTTCCGCCCAGCGCTGCTGAAGACGTGGAGATGGATTAGCCCTCTAACTCTCGCCAGCAGCAGGAGCAGGGACGAAAGCGTAGCAAAGAAGCTGCGCCTACAAAGCCTGCAGTGACCGTCTCAAAGCCAAACGGTAAGGGGTCACGAAAGAGGCCTGCGGACTCGCTCGCTTCTGCTCCGCCAAACAAAAAGACGAGATACAGTCCTCGCATTACAAGGGCACGATCTGGTAGCGACGAGTCGCGCAAGGAGGGGGGCGGATAACTTTTAAAGGAAATAAACGGGGATGGTGTGCTTGTATGGAACTCATCAGCGGTTTGGTTGTTTTTGTTTTTATCTTTTCCTCTATCATTTTTGTTTTTAGTCATTCAAAAGGCGACAGGAAATTTGCAGCCGGAAGGCTTGCACGCACGTCAGTTTTCCTATTATAGCGAAAGTTGATATGATGTTTGAGGAGTTTTAGAGCTCCTTTGGCCTGTACTCTAGAAACTATATAAGCAAGCACGTCATGATTATATCAGTATCGAAATTGTGCAGCTAATGTCATCTTATCAAAAGTCAAGTCTTGAGTTGGTCTCCTGTGAATTACAAATGGTATTTATATCTCTTCCTAAATGGCTATGTAAGGGTATACCGTTGGAGCAGTCAGATATCGTAGGCCATATCAAAATGCGTCAGATACAGCAAGACAAAACTTTTCGTTCCATAGCACCACATGCCTGTTTAATGTGTCATCTAAATCGTCAATTATCCCAGTCGCCCCTTTTATTGCAGGTTCTCGATAACCATAGCAGAAGCACCACCACCACCATTGCAGATACCAACGGCACCAATCTTGGCCTTCTTCTCCTTGAGGACTGAGGTAAGGGTGGTGACAATACGGGCACCAGAGCATCCAAGAGGGTGACCGATGGCAACGGAACCACCGTAGACGTTGACCTGGTCAGGGTTAAGACCAAGGAGCTTCATGTTGGCGAGCGCAACGGCGGAGAAGGCCTCGTTGATCTCATAGTACTCGACCTGGTCGGCGGTCAAACCAGCGTGCTTGATGGCCTTGGGAATGGCCAGAGCGGGAGCAATGGTGAAACGCTCAGGCTCGCGCTCAGCATCACCCCAACCAAGGATCTTGGCAACAGGCTTAAGGTTGAGCTCCTTGAGCTTAGCCTCGGAGACGAGGACAACGGCGGCGGCACCATCGTTGATGGGAGCAGCGTTAGGGGCAGTGACAGTACCATCAGGCTTGAAAGCAGGGCGCACAGCCTTGAGCTTGTCGACATTCAGGTTCTTGACCTCGTCGTCGCGCTCAACCTTAATAGCGGGCTTGCCACGGCCACCGGGGACCTCAACGGGGACGATCTCAGTGAACAGACCGGCCTCGGTGGCTGCCTGGGCCTTCTTGTATGAGTTGATGGCGTACTCGTCCTGAGCCTCGCGGGTGAGCTCATGGTCCTGAACGCAAAGCTCGGCAGAGATACCCATGTGGTCCTTCTTGAAAGAGTCGGTCAAACCGTCCTTGAGGACACCGTCGACGAGAGTCTGGTCGCCGTACTTGGCGCCGTTTCGGAGGTTGGGGAGGTAGTGAGGAGTGTTGGACATGGACTCGGTTCCACCAGCAACGACAATGTCAGAGGTGCCGAGCATAATGTTTTGAGCACCAAGGATGATGGCCTTGAGCGAAGAAGCGCAGACCTTGTTCACGGTCGTGGCGATGACAGTCTGGGGAAGGCCTGCACCGAGAGCGCATTGGCGGGCAGGGCCCTGTCCGACTCTAGAGGCAAATCATGTCAGCAACGAAGTCGCAGTTATCTCAATTTACTTTCGAGATCATGATGGCGGGGTAGAGAAAACAAAAGACCTACCCAGCGGAGAGGACATTGCCAAAAAAGACCTCGTCGACATCCTCAGGCTTGATACCTGCGCGCTCGACAGCTCCTGTGGACAATCATTAGTATCCAGAAGGTTCTTTTTTTTGTTCGTCGTTGTAACATTTCATCTTACCCTTGATGGCGACAGCTCCCAGTTGAACGGCGGTCTGGCTCGACAAAGAGCTATATTGATGTTAGCCACTACACAACAATGATATGGCAATGATCATACTAACCCGAGGAAAGAGCCGATGGGCGTACGAGCCGTAGAGACGATATAGACAGGAGGAAGGTTGGCCATTTTGGAAGAATTGATGTGTTATGATGGAAGATAACAAAAAATCAGGAGATCATCAGCGGAGAGCTTAGTTTATAGATTGATAAATCAGCAAGGGGACGAGATGGACAGTGGAGCGGAAACCGGCGGTAATTTTGTTGAGGGACGGGAGTAGCGAATCTTAGGGACAGCTTGAGCTACCTACCTTAATTAATTAATTTACAAGCGAACAGCACTTTCCTTCCAATGATCTAGCTTGAGAGGCTAACATTGGGTAAGGCAGGAAGTGAGCAATAGAGAGGCCCCTCTTACCCGTGGTTGAGGTGCCATTGCCCTCGAATTCGGGATCTGTACAGCGGGAAATGGAGGCTTTGGAGGGGCACGGCTCTTGCGAATACGCCGCCGCGCCGCTGTCGGCAGGAACACCCCTGTCAATTTCCGGCCCCACTTGTACCTGCCTCAGTCTTCCCGTCTTAACTTCCATTTGCTCTTCATGAATGATCGGGTGCACGTGACATCAAAAAGTTGGCAACAGAATAGAGCTTCGCGCGCGAAGTCAGGTCCATACAGGGAGCTTTAGTGACAAGATTGACGATCAGAGAACCCGAATTCTCACGTCGCCAATTGTTTGCGCATACAGAAATACGCATTTGCGCATCTATTCTATTCACAGCGACGATGGATGATCTTTACGACGAGTACGTATCTTGTTCTTTCGTCGCGTTTCGAGCTTGACAATTTGACGGCGCGCTGACTTATCGCGACAGGTTCGGTAACTTCATTGGCGAGGAGGCCGAGTCAGAGGAGGGCTCAGAGGTCGGCGTTGGTGCGGATGACTATACCTACGATGACGAGCCGGATGAGGCTCCTGGTGTGACAGGCCAGGAGCTCATGGAGATTGACGGTACGAGCCCGGGACCCAGGCTACAAACATATACTAATTCATGGGTTGGCAGATGGCCCATCAAATGCGATTATTCTCCACGAAGATAAACAGTACTATCCAACTGCCGAACAGGTATACGGCGCCGATGTCGAGACTCGTGTCGAAGAAGAGGATGCCCAGCCTCTATCCCAGCCCATCATCGCCCCCATCGAGCAGAAGAAGTTCAATATCGAGGAAGCCGACCTCCCACCCGTGTTCTTCAACCGCGAGTTCATGACAGATTTGATGAACTTTCCAGAACAAACGCGAAACGTAGCATTAGCCGGACATTTGCACCATGGAAAGACTGCGTTCATGGACATGTTGGTACTCGAGACACACGACATCACAGATCGACTTGAACGAAGAGTGGGCAAGAACCGAGATGAGCAATTGAGATATACGGACGTACATATCTTGGAGAGGGAAAGGGGGTTATCTATCAAGGCTGCGCCAATGAGTTTGATACTACCCAGTACCAAGGGCAAGTCGCACCTTGTCAATCTGATCGATACTCCTGGTCATGTTAACTTTGTCGATGAGGTGGCTGCCTCGTTCCGTTTGGTTGACGGCGTCTGTTTGGTGGTGGATGTGGTCGAAGGAGTTCAGATCAACACGGAGCAGATCATCAAGCACGCCGTTCTCGAGGACATCCCCCTGACGCTAATCATCAACAAAATGGACCGCCTCATCCTTGAGCTGAAGCTGCCACCCAAGGACGCATACTTCAAGCTCAAGCACGTTGTCGAGGAGGTCAATACGATTATCACAAACACAGCTCCTACCAAGGCCGCTTCCAAGAGGATAAGTCCTGAGAAGGGCAATGTCCTATTCGCCTGCACAGATATGGGCTGGTGTTTCACGTTACCGAGCTTCGCCAAAATGTATACAGAGACCTTTGGAGATATCAATGTGGACGAGTTTGCGAAGCGGTTATGGGGCGACATCTACTATAACCCAAAGAAGCGAAACTTCTCACGAAAACCTCTGGATGAGCGCTCAGCACGATCGTTCGTTCACTTCATCCTTGAGCCCATCTACAAACTCTTCACACACTCGATCAGCGACAGTCCAGAAGAACTGCGGCCAGTGTTGGCCTCGCTGGGTATTGAGCTGAAGCCTTCACAATACAAGGCTGACGCGAAGGTCCTTCTAAAGCTAGTATGCGAGCAGTTCTTCGGTCCATCAACAGGCTTTGTGGATATGATCGTTAAGCACATACCAACTCCCATCGAGACTGCTGAGCGATTACTTGAGCGATATTATACCGGCCCATTGGACTCGAAGGTTGCTGCCTCCATGAAAGCTTGTGATCAGGACGGTCCATTGGTCGTTCATATTACCAAGCTCTTCAACACATCCGATGCAAAGAGCTTTCACTCGTTCGGGCGTGTACTGAGCGGCACAGTTCGACCAGGTATGCAGGTACGCGTTCTTGGTGAAGGCTACTCCTTGGACGACGAGGAAGATATGGCTATGGCCAATATCTCAGAAGTGTTCATCGGCGAGACCAGATACAACATCCCTACCGACGGCGTGCCAGCCGGTAACCTTGTGTTACTTAGCGGCGTCGACAACTCCATTGTCAAGTCCGCTACCATCATCCCTCCCAAATTAGAAGATGACGAAGACGCTTATATTTTCCGGCCTATCACACATTTCACAGAGTCTGTTCTTAAGGTTGCCGCCGAGCCTATCAACCCCTCTGAACTCCCCAAGATGCTTGATGGACTAAGGAGGATTCAAAAATCGTACCCCCTCATCAAGACTAAGGTCGAAGAATCAGGAGAGCATGTTGTTCTAGGAACCGGAGAGTTGTACATGGATTGTGTGCTGCACGACCTTCGTCGTCTGTATGCTGACATGGATATCAAGGTTTCTGACCCGGTTACGCGGTTTTGTGAGACTGTTGTCGAGACATCGGCGACAAAATGCTATGCTATCACCCCAAACAAGAAGAACAAGATCACCA